TGTTTTCCCCCCCCGGGGTATGAGCGGGGGGGAAGCTGTATCAGCACTACCGAGGGTACTAGAGTAAGATTTCAGTGCACCGTGTACGCTCAAGTAAGACGCAAACCACCAACTAACAAATTAGCGAATCAACCAAAGGGTTCGGTAGGTTCGATATATGTAGTCAGTGAGAGTACTTGGAGGTCATGGTCTCGAAGACTCAAATTAGAAAAAGCTAGAGAGTTGTTCCAATTCCTGGGTGAGCAGCTGAAAGTGAAGGAAACTGATGCTCCTCACCACTAGGAACAGGTTAGTAACTGGAATGTTCACCTGAAAATAAACCTGTGTCTGGACCCTGGCAGGTACTGCGGAAGAGAAGTACCATGGGTCAACCTTCAACAAAGCTTGGCAAGTGTATATGTAGCATGGATACCTTGGTGAAGAGAAACAGAAACCGGTGAATGACCAGTGAAGCAACAACCGTTAGAATGAACGAGTCAGGGCGGCCTCATGATGACAAAAGACAACCCAAGGAACGTCTAGACGACGGACCAAACTCCATCAATTACACTGTGTTTGTTTGTGGTAATTGAGTCAAATGAAGCTTGAAGCTACTGCGGTAGGGTTGGGAACAGATGGTATGAAGATCAACGCCCAGACGAAATGGATGGTGATTTGTGTGGACAGGAAACATAGGGCGGCAGCTATCTCAGTCGAGGCATTTTGTTTCACCGAGGAACTCATCACTCCTCTGCGTCCGACAGAAACCGTGACATATTTAAGCATCCCCTTTACTTTCAATGGAAAAGGAGTCTTCAAGCACTGACAGCAGCTGCTCAAACTGCTAAAGAGATAACGAGTGCCCCATTGAAGCCACATCCAAGAATGGAGATCACGGGCAACTACCTGATACCGAGCCTGACACATTCGCTCGTACTCGGCCAAGTCCACCAAAACACGCTCAAAAGGTTGGACAATTACATCAGCCAATCTATTCGTGACTGGCTACGCCTACCAAAGGACACCCCGATCGGCTACATTCACGCCGGTGAACAACACAGAGGACTTGGTATCCCAAGTCTAAGTGCAACAGTACCGATGCAGCGAACAGCGCGTATGCCAAATATCCTCTCTACCCAGTTCCGAGTACTGCGCAATGTGGTCAACGTTTCCGCATTTGGTAAGATTGTTCGGGATCTCAGCCTTCCGAACCGAGCCCGAGGTGCATGCGTAAACACCTAGGAAGGGCTGGCAGCTGATTGGGATATAACGCTGGCGACAGGAACCCAACGCAAACACAAAAATGTCAATTTCAGCGGAGAACTGGAATGAAATCCTTCATCAGCAACAAACGCAGTTCGAACAATCGCAGTTGCGACTTATTCTGTCTCTTACTCAAGCCGTCAGGCTTCAGGCATCGATTCCATCCCAGATTGGTACTTCATCATCTTTTGCCGATTCTGTGGCAGCAACTGTTACCGAGTTCCTCTAGGAACCAGCCTCTGGTTTCACATTCGATTCACGGTACTGTCGCTGGGAAGATACTTTTAGAATGAGTTTATCGACAAAGATGATGCCTAGAAACCCCGTCTCTTAGTCCGGAAACTTGGAACCCTCGAGCACGATCGGTTCACGAACTTCATTTTTCCCAAACATCCAAGGATCTAAATTGGCACAAGCAGTGAAATAACTCCGTGAAATTTTCGGTGAGCAATATTCACTTTTTAAGGTCCGACACAATTGTCTCGAATTGACCAAGCGTGATGCCGAAAAGTACGCCACTTTTGCCGGTGTCGTCAACCGTGATTGGGAAAAATTTCATTTCCAGGCACTTAAAAAGGATCGGTTCAAGTGTCTCATTTTCGATGCTGGTCTTCAGTCTCCCAAAGAATCATATATTTGCGCTGGACTGCTTTGAGAAGGATATTACCGTGTTCTAATTTTCGTTGCTGGTCTTCAGTCTCCGCAGGAATCAGATACTCACACACTACTGCTTTCCAAGCTTGAGCACGAGAGGATATTACC